ACAGCGGCATGCAGCAGCGGTACGAACAGCCAGCTGTGAGTTCGCTCGCCGACGCCAGTGGGTGGGCCTTGGTTGTACCAAGCCGCATTGGGCAGAACAGCTGTCGGGCTAATAGGGCATGCAGGGGCTGCTGGTGCGGCGGGAACAACCTGTGGGGCGGCATGCGGTGCGTCAGGGAGCGGCACTCGCTGACCACGGCAGGGGAGGATCTCAGGAGGAGACCCACACACCCATCCGCGGCTGAATTCGCGCAAGTCTCTTTAGCTTCTCTGTCCACGCACACGTTTTGCGTCGGCAACATGCGCGGTCCCAGTGCACCTGCAAGCTACATGTCGCAATCCGCGCTGGGAGGCGGCTGGAAAAAGGAGTATCCAGCCATCGCGCGTATTGCAGGACCTCGTGCACAGCTTGCCGGCACAGCAAACGCGACTGCGTCGAGAGGGCCCACTGCGCTGCCACGGCAAGGACGCTACTCCAGCGGGAGAGCGGACGGCAGCTTGTGCACTCGCGGCACGCTTTAGTGCAAGGAGCCGCAAGAAGGCTGTGGGTTCAGAGGCGTGATCAAAGGCTCCAACCGCGATGCACAGCACCGTCGCACGTGGATCCATCTCCGTGCCGACGCGTAGGAGACGGACCAGCGCTTCCGTGGCGCGGGTGCTACGTCAATACATGGCTGCACCCGACCAAGCGGCGGAGCACGTCCCCGACATTCCCGAACGACGACGGCCCGCGCACGCTCGCAGGGCTTGCGGAAAGCTATAATACGGCATTATACGGCCAGCTCGGATGGCAGCGACAACCTGCGATGGTACATCTGCACTTGCAAGCCGCTCGGCAGCACCGTGCAAAAGTGTGCAATCAGTCAGCTTCATCGTCGAGCATTGTGTGCACATGTTGGTGAGTGATGCATGACGGCCCAACAGCTGTGCCTCATCTCGGGATTCGCAAGGAGGCGAGGAACGCCTGCTAGGGCAACGCACACTCTTCTGCAGGCCTAAACAAATTACCTCTACAACCCAGAAACGCGTGTAACTGCCCAACGTGGTGCACGATCCTCGAAGGAAGCCCCTCCGTTATATCAGCAAATCCAAGCGGCGGACGGACGCCGTGGCTTTTGTGGCATACTCCGGGTCCTGTCCGGCTACAAAAGCTGCCGCTGTTGCTCAATTCTTCTGGCAAGGCTTGGAAGTACGGAATGACTGGTCTGGGGTGTGTTGGGATGACACTCGTGTTTCGTTGCGGACTCGAGCTTTTGCATGGGGAACAGAGGACGCTGGGTTTGCCTGACGGGTGCTTGTGAGGTCGTTTTCGGAGTGTGGCCCGTCTTTTGTTGCAGTTAGCACGTGGCCCATGTTCAACAGTGTCTCTGGCTTAGGAAGCCCAAAACCTCCAGCTCCGCATGCGTGTGCATACAGTCACGTTCATACACACGCTCCAGTGCCGTTGGTGGTAAATTGTTCATCTTGCACAAGTTGCGACTGCTACGGCTGTAATGTTGAAGCAGTTAGGCAACAGAACACCCTCATTGTCTCTGTTTTTGAAAAGCTTGTAGTCTAAGTAGGGCCTGATTTCAATTGACGACCCTTGCGCGGAGGCGGAAGACCGGCCGACCTCGTCGTGTACGGCATGGGACACCCGCAACCCTGTGCAGCAGCGGTCGACGGCGCGGCATTGAAGGTCGCCGAAGCTCACTACCTACCCAGAGCTTGCCTGCAGCGGGCCGCAACAGTTCGTTGTGTTGGGCTTGGCCGTGGGCGGACGCTGGAACGACCGGGCACGCACTTTCGCGCGGGACCTAACACTTACGTATGCACGTCGGCAACGCCGCATGCCGACCGCTGGGGATAAGCGGCATCAGAGCTTGTTGCCGTTTCCGACATTTTGCTGCTGACTTGACATCATCGACATCATTTGCTGGACTGCGGACCAACAAGCCCCGTCTGCATGGGCGCGCCGGGATGCGCCGGGGCGGTGGTTAAGCTTTGTCGCAATACGAAGCAAACCACATGGACTAAAGGGCAATGGAAGGAAGCGTAATTGCGCAGGCGCGTGGCTACTCGTTGCAATAGAGCACTGCGAATCGCTCGAACGAGGCGCAAGCTTGGCGTAGTTATGTACCGACGAAACTCTACTAGGTGTATGTTGTGCATGTTGGCAATTTCGGGTTGGCGAGGGCCAGCCAGCTCTGTGTCTCCTAGCGAGTCAACAGAATTGTCAGCGCAGCGCTCACAATAATTCGGGATAATTCGGGCAAATCGCTGTCTGCACTAAAAAATTTGCTGTCTGTCGCGAAGTGCAGTGGAACCAAGAGGCAACGGCTGGTTGGCATGTGCTGGCACTAAGATGCCAACACCCTACACAACCGTAAATCGGAGCCGTAAAAGCCGCAACACACAGCTGTGCAGTGTGTCTGTGTGTGTGTGTGTGTCTGTGTGTCTGTGTGTCTGTGTGTGTCAGTGTGTGTCAGTGTGTGTGTGTGTGTGTCTGTGTGTGTCAGTGCGTGTCAGTGTGTGTGTGTGTGTGTCTGTGTGTGTGTGTGTCTGAGTGTGTGTCTGTGTGTGTGTGTCTGTGTGTGTGTGTGTGTGTCTGTGTGTGTGTGTCTGTGTGTGTGTGTCTGTGTGTGTGTCTGTGTGTGTGTGTGTCTGTGTGTGTGTGTGTCTGTGTGTGTCTGTGTGTGTGTGTGTGTCTGTGCGTGTGTCTGTGCGTGTGTCTGTCTCTGTGTCTGTCTCTGTGTCTGTCTCTGTGTCTGTCTCTGTGTCTGTCTCTGTGTCTGTCTCTGTGTGTGTCTCTGTGTCTGTCTCTGTGTGTGTCTCTGTGTGTGTCTCTGTGTGTGTCTCTGTGTGTGTCTCTGTGTGTATGTGTGTGTCTCTGTGTGTGTCTCTGTGTGTGTGTGTGTGTCTGTGTGTGTGTGTGTATGTGTCTGTGTGTGTGTGTCTCTGTGTGTGTGTGTGTGTCTGTGTGTGTCTGTGTGTGTGTGTGTGTGTGTGTGTGTCTGTGTGTGTGTCTGTGTGGGTGTCTGTGTGTGCGTCTGTGTGTGTGTCTGTGTGTGTGTGTCTGTGTGTGTGTGTCTGGATGTTTTGTCTGTGTGTGTTGTCTGTGTGTGGTGTGTGTGTGTGTGTGTGTGTGTGTGTGTGTGTGTGTGTGTGTGTGTGTGTGTGTGTGTGTGTGTGTGTGTGTGTGTGTGTGTGTGTGTGTGTGTGTCGTGTGTGTGTGTCTGTGGTGTCCTGTGTGTGTGTGTCTGTGTGTGTGTCTGTGTGTGTTGTGTCTGTGTGTGTGTGTGTCTCTGTGTGTGTGGTGTGTGTCTGTGTTTGTGTGTGCGTGTCTCTGTGTGTCTCTGTGTGTCTCTGTGCGTCTCTGTGCGTCTCTGTGTGTGTCTCTGTGCGTCTCTGTGCGTCTCTGTGTGTCTCTGTGTGTCTCTGTGTGTCTCTGTGTGTCTCTGTGTCTCTGTGTGTCTCTGTGTCTCGTCTCTGTGTCTCTGTGTGTCTCTGTGTGTCTCTGTGTGTCTCTGTGCGTCTCTGTGCGTCTCTGTGTGTCTCTGTGTGTCTCTGTGTGTCTCTGTGTGTCTCTGTGTGTCTCTGCGTGTCTCTGCGTGTCTCTGTGTGTCTCTGTGTGTCTCTGCGTGTCTCTGCGTGTCTCCGCGTGTCTCTGCGTGTCTCCGCGTGTCTCTGCGTGTCTCTGTGTGTCTCTGTGTGTCTCTGTGTGTCTCTGTGTGTCTCTGTGTCTCTGTGCGTCTCTGTGTGTCTGTGTGTGTCTGTGTGTGTGTGTGTCTGTGTCTGTCTGTGTCTGTCTGTGTGTGTCTGTGTCTGTCTGTGTGTGTGTGTGTGTGTCTGTCTGTGTGTCTGTCTGTGTGTGTCTGTGTCTGTCTGTGTCTGTCTGTGTGTGTGTGTGTCTGTCTGTGTCTGTCTGTGTGTTTGTGTGTGTGTGTTTGTGTGTTTGTGTGTGTGCGCGTGCAAGCGCAAAGTTCCCGATTGCTCACCGTGCAGAAATGTAGCGTGTCAGAAAATGCAATTTTTAGGTAGCTGCGTGCATCATCCAGCTATATGTCTGCTGTCTGCTAAGGGAATCGCCACGCTACCAATTGTACTTGAATTTTTCGAACCTGCCGCGAAGCACAGGTGCCGATCTTGGGACCGTCTGGTCGGTGCAAGGCGAAGCTGTGCCGGGACCGGGTCTGTACAGCAAACGCGCACGCGGAGTAAGCTGATCTCGCAGCAGCGGCTGGCGCCGGTTGCTCTCGTGAAGGTTCGGGGGCCCTCCATCCGCTAATGCACAATGCGGTGGGCGCTCCAGTAGTTTGCAGTTGTGACATGCGAGGGCCTAATTTCGCATGTTTGCCAGCGCGAGCCATCTTTGCAAACAACTGTTAAGCGATGACGTACCTGATGAGTACAGTAAGGGCGCTAGCTAAAAGAGCAAAGCAAGCAGCAAGAGCGTCAGATGCAAAATGCTGCAAGGATGCAAACTGAAAAAAAATGCTGGAAGTGGGGAAGGCATCGCTTTCGAGCACAAGTTGGCACCTCCAGCTGGTCACCCAGCCTTGCCAGCTGCACCGCCCAAAAGAAATGCATGCAGCCCGTCTTGAAGGCTTGCTCAACAGGGTTTAAGCTGTCGGTGGTGAATTCCATGCTCTGGAGGCCCAAAACCAAGCGGCTACGGACATGAGGACGTCACGGAAGCGATCGCTCTGCCGGCAGGAGATCTCTGAAACGGCAATGAGCGGCATCGCCCTGGCCATGCGGAGGCCAGCGCGGCTCAGAAGCTGAAGGATTTTGGAGTTTGTCGAATCGCTGGAGCATCGGAAAGGCTGAGGTTCTCAGCGGCGAGACGGTCTGGTCTCCCGGCACAAAGTGCTCAGGAAAGGGCACGCGATAGCCGCGGGCGGAGGCATTCGAGCAGCGTCTAGAGAAAAGTACTGTACTGTAGGCACAACCATGAAGATCACGTTGCGAATGCAGGGTGTCGTCGCATGGCGTGGCTCGTTTCTCCAATGGCGATGCCGGTCATTGTAGGCAACGATTCTTGGCTTCGCGCGCTCGGCGGGCTGTGGCGAGGCACGTCGACGGGAGCACGGCATCAGTGCCAAGCGCCGCCATCGGTATCTCCGGCTTCTCTTGAGACTCGGGCGGCTTCTGTAGGTCGCGAGGCTCAGCACCGCGATGAGCCGTGAGCACGCCAGTTCGAGGGAGCCTGACTTCCGGTTCTCGGCTCGGACTTTGCGCTGACGCCGACATCCGTTGCTCCGTCCGCGAGGTGGCCGCCTCGTCCGCAGCGCTTCGTCCGGCAAGTCTGCCCACCGCAGTTGCGACAAAGTACCCTCGGCCAGGCATTTGCGACTCGGCAAAGAACAGGAAAGCGAACCCTGCCTTCTCCAATTGCTTGGCAGCATTGCTACCATCGGCTTTGTCCAATATCCACCTTGGCAACGCAACAAGCATCTTGCCGATTGTCCATATCGAAAGTGGTAAGGCCTGGTGAGGCTGGTAAGGCTGGCACACAGCCCGCGCACCTTCTGCAGCCAGCCGAGCAGCCACAGCGGAGCCGATGCCCTCGTAATGCAAGACACTTCAACGTGCACTGAACTCCGGGGTCGGCCGGGCAAGTGCATGTACATAATAACCCAATGAACATGATATTCTTGGTAATCAAATCTGCTGTAGGCTTGGCATGCACAAACCGGGGTGAAGGGCAAAGCGGGAATGCTGCTGTACATGGCCAGCGGCGCCTGGGCAGCGCCGGTCACAACGCAGACCTGCGGATCATGCCAAAAGCACTCAAAACACATTAGGCTCCGAGGTGAATCAACGTAGCGCCTGGCCCTCAAACCGCCGTGGCACAGATGTACAAGGAGATGCTAACAGGTGGCGCCTTTGCAGCGGTCGGCCACGAAACTTTCACAACTTCAGCCACAGCTGGCTCCCACATGCCCGGCACCTACTCCACCACTCGGCAAATGCTAGAAAGGATTCACTACTAAGCTCGGTGCACCACGACATCGGTGCGCTTCGTCTCTCCTTATTGAAAGCTTCATGCGCCCGCTCACTGCTCAAGACATCAGCACTATGTCACTATGTCACGTGCAACATGATGCGTGAGTGGGCTGCTGCAGGAAGCTGGTTGACCGGCTAACCCAAGGCGCAGGCTGGACAACGACATGCTGGCGGCTGCGAAACCAGATTGCTGCCACGTGTTGTCGGTCTGCTGTTCAGACAGTCGACTTGGACTATATCCATGATCTCGCCAAGCTTGCTAACCGCTGCTGCTCGGTGCCCTGTCACTGGAGCCACTGAAAACAGCTGGCATCCACGAACATCGTGCACCCGGAGACGCTTAGCTTCATTTCGAGCCTTTTGTTGGGATGGGTGTCAGGAGAATCCGAGGGCCAAGACTTGAAGGGATCCATGTCGGACGTTCAAGCCTTCCCTGTAGCTTCGATGCTCAGGGCGTACTATCAGTCATCGGGATACAAGTGGAAATTTTCAGTCGTCAGAAGCAGATGCCCAGAGCCCAAGACCATTTCTTGAACGGAAGACACATTGCACCATCACGATCATGGAAGCTCTATATATAACAACTACTCCACCCAAAAAATTCTGAATTTCAATTATGTTTCGTTTGGGCTGTCTGGGAGACGCTCTTGCCGAGGAATCTCGGGCTTAGGGTCCAAGGAGGCTCTGCCGGCCTTTGGGCAAACTCCTCACACGGACGCGGGTTCTTCGAAGTCTCGACATCTCGTGCGGTGCGATTTGACTTTCTTGCTGGCTCTCTATCTTAAACAGAATCACGAAATGGGCTCCACTTCGGATTTTGCATACGCAAAGCACACACGCCCAACGCGAGAGGCCTGTCAGACCATCAAGGTCCGACTCGGCAATTCCATGTTCAGCCCGGTCAGTTGACGGATCACCCCTGCAGCCAAAGCAGCTGGGACCCAACCATCCCTCGGCCAAGTCTTCGAATCACAGTTGATAAACGTGACTGGAGAGCATTCGAAGGGTATTCAGCACCGGAAATTCGCAAGCTTCACATGCGTGCGACCAAGAATGGAGACTCTCTTCCTGAAACACGGATTTGTTGGCCAGGATGCGGAAGGCCAGACACCTTGGCGTTCAGCTCTTCATCCAAACCTGCTCTCGAGCCAGGACTAGGACTCTTGCTTTTTTTATCTGAGGCCCTGCAACGCCGTAACCCTGCCTGAAGGCCAGGGTGCTGGGCGCCCACCAGAAGCGGCATCAGGCTGCTGCCTGGACAGAACATCGAAGGCCCGAAGATCGACACTTAGACTTGGCTTTTGCGGCCAAAGCACCTGATCGTCTCCCTGAGCACGGGGAGGCATGCCTCAGCTTAGCTCAATCAGCTTAGCTCAAACACCGCAGGACCCCCTGGTCCAGGAAACTAGGGACATGCCAACCACCAGGCTCTCTGGATCAAACGATTGCTGCCGCAAGTTCCTGCAAGTCTTCAGAGCATGCGAGATGCCGCGGACGCGTCTGGCGACTATGCTACGCTGCTACCGCTGCTCTTGCTGCTGCTGCTTCGTCCAAGTCCTCCTCCCCTGGCGCCTCGTCCTCCTCCCGAGCTACTCCTGGAAATAGTGCTTCTACTGTTACTAGTACTGCTGCTGCTACTACTACGACTACGACTACTACTACTAGACTACAACTACTTCTAATTACTACTACTCCCGCTGCTACTACTACGACTACTCCTGCTGCTACTACTGCTACTGCTACTACTACTTCTGCTACTGCTGCTGCTGCTACTACTACTACTACTACTACTACTACTACTAGTACTACTACTACTACTACTACTACTACTACTACTACTACTACTACTACTACTACTACTACTACTACTACTACTACTACTACTACTACTAGACTGCGACTACTCCTGCTGCTAGTACTCTACGACGACGACGACGCCGATCTGCTCCCACGTACTCCTAGGCGTTGCACGCCGTTCGTGACGGATCTGCCAGGACCTCTGGCCATTTAAATTTTCAAGGGGGTGAGTTGGTGCGATGGCACAAGACTGCTGCAAACAGTAATACATTTGCTCGTTTGCTGGTTTGCCATATAGCCGGCAGTGAAACCGTCAAGTTACAAAGCGCCGTGCCGTGCTTCCATGCAACTCACCCATTGGAAGTACTAGTACCAACGGCGCCTGTTGTCAGTGGCGCTGCTGCTGAATTACTACCAGCGTCATGTTGCATGTTTGCTCGCGATCGAGGGGACGGCCCTCGGGACTCCTCGGAATTCTGATGGGAAACAATTTCGAGTGCCACCTGGTCACTCGGCCATTCGGAAGGAAGGACACCAGGAGCAGCCAGGCTATGTAGACGCCTTCCTGAGAGGCTCAGGCTGATCTTGAGACCATAGTGGTCTTGCTGCTCTTCTTCCCTCGAGATACAAACGTTCATCCGTTCACTACGAGTTTCCCTGTGAGAATCACTCACCTTTCTTCATCATGAATGCTACTCAGCCTCGGAATCGAGAACAGAAACTTCCTCTTTACTGCAGCTGCGCCACCGGGAGCCCCTGCAGGTGCGGTGGCGTCGGACGACAAAGAAAGCCTCCGCTGCTGGATCTGAAAGGCCTCTCAATAACTAGAGTAAGGTTTTAGTGTCGATTGCGCTAGCTGCTAGACGTACAGTTCGGACCATAAAAGGATACGATTTCCCTCTATAGGTCGACAAGACTCATCCAGGGCTTAGATTTTTCAAAGACATCCATGCATCTGCATGCGGGACTTCGTATGACATTCCCGGCCGAAGCGGCCACGGTTTCGTACAGCACTCCCCTGTTGCCCTCCTCTGAATCCCCTCCCTCTCGCCCATTCATCAACATATAAAATGATACTATATTGAACTGCCATATGGTACAAGAGACAACATCAAAAGGTCAGAAAAGGTTAAGCTGTTGATTCTGGCAGGAATATGTACGCAGTACGCACTACCTAAGTCACTCCAAAAGGCCTGTGTACGCCCCTACACAACCGTCATAAACCCCAATATTCAGGGTTTAGGGTTTAGTGTCGCACCCTCTACAGCCCGCTTCGACCGGGAGACGCTCTGCCCAGAGCGCCGCCCGAGGTCGGGTCCACACCGCGCGCACCGAGGCCGGCCGCCCAAGCGTCTCCTACGGTGGATGACAAAAATCCTGCGTTACCTGAAGGACCCAAAACTATGGGAATTATGGCATATTCCTTACTATGGGTAATGCGGGGGATTTATATCATCAAGATGTCCAAGGCTCGAGGCTCGAGGGTTCACGGTTTTAGGGGCTTTCTTGGTGGAGGTTTCAGGGATTGGGCTCCGGGGCTCAATGATTCTTAGAGGGGCTTGCAGAGATCCTGTCAAGATCTTATCATGTTTGACAAGGTTCCATCCAGGGTCGGTTAGGGGGATCTTTGGTGTTGGTGTTTGTTTGTGAAGGACTTTTCTGTGAATGACCTTTAATGTTTGCAGCTTATTGCTTGCATTTGGGTTTAGGAGGCTTTTGAGTTGACAGGGTAGAGGTGTCCTGCTGAAATGCCGGATTTTTAGGGTGGGCCCCTATTGAAGTGAGCCCCACTAGGTAGCGGTACCATGGTTGGAGAACGGCAGGTTCGGGGTCTCTTAGTTAAGGAATGTACACCGTTCAATCAAGTTAGGAGGAGTCCCTCTCCACGTTTAAGGCAGCTGCCTTACTTCAAAGGGTTATTTTTTTGGAGGTTCTGGGGAACCCTGGAGCAAGCAGGTTTTCAAAAGGTTCATTTACCCGATCTCCTATTCGCCGGCCGCCAGGCTGCAACAGAGCGCTTACAGAATTGGGAGTTGCAGAATCACAGAAATCGGTGACCTTCATCTATCTGAGTTTAAACCCTGAACGGTCGGGACCTCATGGTCGGAACCTTAAAACCAAGGCGTGACGCACAAAAAAAAATCTCCTCATCCGCCAAGGCAGCGAGTAGGAGCTTCCAGAGATACCTTCGTGGCTTCTACCAGTTCACGGCCAGAGCATATCAGCAGTTTGCGGGGGTTCAAGCCCTATTCAAGCAGACTACAATCGTGGAAGTAGGTCCTAAAAGAAACGATCAGGATAGTTCTTGGGGCTGGCTTCCATGATCGTGCAGTACGGTTGATCATATAAATCCAAAATTACCTTTTTGGACCCTAAACTATGGGAATAATGGTATTTTCTTCATTATGGGTAATGCAGGATTTATATCATCAACCCTAGTACTTGTAAGCTTCTTGGCGAGGAGGACAGGGCTGATTGCTCCCAGTAACTCATCGCAGGGATAGTGCTCCAGCAGCCCGGCAAGGCACTCGAGCTGTGCCTGAGGAATAGGGCTTCGGGTACCGGGTACAGTACACGATCACTATGCGCGGCCGAGACAGGCATTGTTTCTGTTGATCCATGCAATATTCGGACCTCTACTAATTGACCTGGGCACATCAAGAGTCCGAAGGGAACTGTTAGGGCTTCTCCCTGAAATCCAGAATGCCCTTTTGCATTGCCTCCAAGCTCAGCAGTGGGTCGATTCGCCCCGGGGCCATAGTGACCTTCTCCATATGCAACTACAGCTTTTTACATACACACGTATACATATACACGTCTATGTACTACCGTATCTATTTACTGGTTTGTACTCATTGACTTGCCTATAACCATACATACATACATGCGTACATACATGCATACATACTTACTTGCTTACGCACGTGCGTACATATGTACATCCATGCATGTTTAGATATGTTTAGACCTGTGTATGTATGAATATGTGTATGTGTATATACATACACATATTTATATATATATATATATGTGTGTGTGACAATATGTGCAGCATGTATGCTTGTGTGTGTGTGTGTGTGTGTGTTTGTATGTATGTAGGCATGTATGTGGGCATGCAGGCATACATATATGTATACATATATATATACATATATATATACATATATATATACATATATATATATACATTTTCTAAATACCTACAGACACACACACACACACACGCACAAAGTCTTAGATAGAAAAGCATGATCGATATACACACATACGTCATGCATACATGCAAACGCTCAGACATGCAGACATGCAAGATTCATACAGACACTACGCGGGTTACTGAAAAAACAGGTATTGTTGGGTATCCAACGAGGGACATTTGTTTTCGGAACCTCCCATCTATATCCTCAACGGATTCAAAGCCGGGGCACAAGGGGTTGCTGCAAGCTTCCATACCTGCTTCTTGGTGGGTTTCCGTTAACTTCTGTATGGGGGTGGCAAAGAGGACCCTGGCAGTGCTGGCTAAGGGTTCCGTCAAGGGTCCCTTTAAAGGGATCTATAGGGATGCTATAAGGGTATAGGGTTTAGGGTTTAGGGTTCATGAGTAGTTATGGTGGAGTTATAAGTTTGGAGCCAACTTTCTGCCAGGCCACGAGGCCCGTGGGGGAAATATCCATGCGAATCGAGTGGCCGGCCTGCCTGGGAAGTGCGGAAGGCTGGCGCTTGGGGGCGCAATACATGAATACACGTCTACAGACCCAAGAACATGTCTATGTGAATAACAACAGTAACTTTTTCGCAATCGTGATGATGATCGTGACAATGAGAATGATAACCTCAAGCATACTGACAGTCATAATGGAAAGGATAAGGATGGGGACCCATAATGAGGATGAAAACGACACTGATAAAAGTACTGATACTGAAAATCGTAACAGTAACAAGACTTGAACATTGACTATTACAACATTAACAACTAGACGTATAGTTGACAATCAAAACAATAATGACAAGGAGCAAAAATACTACTGACACAAGGAGTGCAGTGCAGAAAACACACAGATACATGCATGCATGCATGCATGCATACGTACGTACATATATACATGCATACATACATACATACATACATACATACACATAAAGACATACGGCTGCGGCTGCACTTTAGAAGCATGTGACATGGACTTTTCGAACTGCTCGTGTTGCCCATCCGGCAACATGCCTTTTGATGATGACCAGGTACTCATACGAAAGACCACAACGCTCCTCACGCAAAATACGGCCAGACTCGAAAGAAGTCATGCCAACTGCAGTGACGTTAAAGCATCAAGGTGTTGGGGTTCAAGGTGTGTTAACGCCCGAATCCTGAAGAAACCTGCCAGGAGCCAGGAAGCCTTCTTGCCGGCATGAGCTTTGCGAAGAGGTGCAGAGGTCCTTAAAACAGGAGCCCTATCAACAAAACATAAACTAATCACTAATCATGTTCGTGTACTAGTGAATTCGAAGATGGAGAATAATCATGCAAAAAGGTGCAATATCTTACGAAGCAGAGCAGGGTGTTGGGGTAAAGTGCACCGAGCCTGTGCGTGGAAGGATATTATAGCATAACTTTTTGGGTCGATACCCGAACTCTACATGTATATCTGAAGATTTTTTAGATAAATAGGTAGACAGAACAGGAAGATAGGTAGATAGACGGATAGATAGATAAGTTGATCGATAGAAAGGCAAACAGACAGATAGATAGACATCATATCTTACATATATGTATATGTATGTGCATATATAAGTATGTACCACAAGACAAGTGTATATGGGGACCCAAGATTTCCTTACAAGTTCAGGATTAAAGGGCCTCCGGTGATCCCTGTAATGGCGGAACTCTCGGACAAGTTGCCCTCGGAAGACTCGGGTCCGCAGGGAAGCCTGAGCCGTGCAGAAGGCACTTAGCTCTCTGATGTCCAAAGCTTCGGAGATGCAGAAAAAGCCCCAGACTGTTCGGAAGGAAGATAGCTTCTGTAGGATTTCTTATCGAGTCTTCCTTGCTTGAGGGGTAGCGTCAAGTGTACTGCAGCCCAGAAGCCGAAAGATGCCGGGCAACAGATGGCTCACGTCCTTAAACTTTCAAGGAACGGCTTCAGCCACTTTGCTACGCTGAAGGCATGTCAGAAGGAGCCTGAGGCCTTCAAACACCACGTCCCTTCCCGGTGGGTTCCAGCCACTTACATTTCAACCTCATCTTGGATGCGCATGTCATGGGCAAGCTGCAGAAGCCAGTCTCCGGCGCAACCTCTCCTTGCGAGGGCAGCCGGATCTGTAAGAAGCGTGATCTCTCGTGGGTCACCGCTTCCCCGACTCAGCAAAACCGCCCCACCGCCTTGCTTGGTGCTTGCTCCCAAAGCCGCAGAGCCAAATAGGCCAGCATCGTGCGGAGCTGCACCTCGCAGCTATCTCTCTCTCTCTCTCTCTCTCTCTCTCTCTGTCTCTCTGTGGCTCTTTATCTTGAGCGACAAGGCAGGAGCACCGGTGCAAGGAGGAGCAAGAAGTAAGTAATGGCCCTGGCGTTTGCAGAGCCCCTGGCCTGAGCAGAGTGACGTCTTAGGTTATGCCGGGATCATTGGGATCAGACCTTATCCAGGGTCACAACAGCGTTCTTTTGCTTGCGCAGTCGCAGGTGCCTCGACATCAATCACGTCGGTTTGGTTTCGGACACCTGCTTTGCAGGACGCCGCCGGGAAGATCCTTTGACACTCCTGGAATCGTTGCATGCCAGCATGGCTTCCATTTCCAT